CCGGAACTTTTTTTATGGACTAGGACATAGTACGCTCCTTTCTCTCATAAAAATAAAGGAGAATCAGAATTTAGAGGACTACTGTGATAATATACCAGGATTAAAACAATCCAAATCACTTTTTGGTATCTATAACAATAAGATATACCAAGATTGTATGAACCTATCAAAAAAAAAACTTAGAATCATCACAGGAATCCTAACAGGGCACTGTAAACTAAAATACCACCTTACAAGACTGGGTATACTTACAGATGCAAACTGTAGATTCTGTGAAGAAAATATAAGCTCCTAGGATTGTATATTCTTACGGAAGCAGCAATAAAACTCTGTAAAGTAGGTTCTACACTACTTTTTGTTAACGCAGCAGAGTTTAGAGATCTACTCTAAGCCGACGGTCGCAGTGTCGCATCCTCTGACAATAATAATAATAATAATAATATGGATAAATCATTAAAATTACATTAATTTTTCATTTAATTCATATGTTGCACTATTTTATAAGAAATTATTTCCAAGAAGACAAACGAAATGAAAGGGAAAAAGGTATTAACCTAAAATAAAAATATATATGATTTCATATTTTTTGTGAGACTTCCTGAACAGAAAATATGGCAAGTATTTAAAAACATTTTTGAAAGGCTTCTATTTACAAAATGATGAACTCTATTGATAAATGAAATAGAAAAAATAAAATAAAATAAAATTAAATGCTCTAATGACAGCAGAAAAAAATTTATATCTAAGATGTAAAATTTTATATTTAAGTTTTGTATTATTCTTGTTATATAATATTAAAAATTCAAATGTTTTAGGAATTGCTTTTAATTGAAAAGAACCTGCAAAATGGTTTCCTCTAAACAAAGTATTTGTTTAATCTTATGTATCTATTACTTCCATCAAATTCTGAATATTTTCTATGGTATTTTATGGCTCACTTCGTTTAATTATACAATTCTAATTTTTTTCTGATTACACGCCTGAGCAACTAAACTCGATGGTCTGAGATACTTCGAAAATTGTTAAACCGCTTATCCCATTTCTCTTACAAAAATCTTGTTTACTTCTTTAGGTTATTTTTTTTTTTTTAGTTTTTATTTACAACTATTCAGGACTATTTTTTCATATACATTTTTTCGTTCCTCGTAAACAAGTATTTAGCTTCGTTTCATACAAACTATTTTTACCTCAAATAAAAATATTTTTTTTTCTTGAAAATTTATATTTTTCAGCAGCAAATTTTAACTTCAAATAAAATTCATTTCTTACAAAAGTTTATAAATAAAAAAATTTTTCAACAACTGAAATAGTAAGTAAAGTATTTTGATATTTATTATTACTCCACAAAAAATACTCAATATTAATGTTCCCACATCTTCTATAGTGGGCTGAGATCTAAAAAATACTATAGAGCTTGCATATCGTGCTATAGAAATTTATTATATATTATATTATCATATTATGAATATTATAATTAATGCTGCAAGCTGCTAGTTAATTTTACCATTTATATTCTTAAGTATTTTAGATCCATCGCTTATTTTGATATTAATATTTGTATTAGTAGTACCAACTCATTTATTCGTTTATTATTCTGACTTAATTCACAGAATAATATTCTGACTTAATTCACAGAATGATAAACGAATTGGAATTACACATAGATCATTTCAAACCTGGCCTTTATTAAACTAAGATAAGTTTAACCTGAGTAAACAAACCTATTTGTTATATATTGCTTATTTCAGAAACATATAATAATATAAATAGAGTCTTGTCTTTATATTGATATGAGAATAAACATGGCCAGCATGGAACAATAGAAGTGAGGAATACTAGTTTCCTTACACTTCATTCTGCTAAAATAGTCCAGAACACACAGCCTAAATATCTAATATCATATGTAATACATCTATTATATTATAGATTATTATATTATATTATAGATTATTATATTTTTGAAAGAAGGAACGCAGCTTCAGACATTTCTTTGTCTATCTTTATGAACATATCTTTCTTTACTTGTATTCTATTTCATTAAACATATACTCATTAAACATATACCTTTAGTTAAATATATTAAACATAACTCAGAGCGCAGATTTATATCAGATTATAAATATTTTTACTATTTTGAAAGAGCAACTATTAAAATAAAACTATTGTATTTAAGTCTTCGTCGAACATTATTTAAATATACACCAACTAAAACTAAATATATTATAGACGTAAATCAATTTTGGCAATGCTTAAGCTTAAATAAACGCGAGTATCCTGCATACAGATTGTTGCTTTTTAAATATATTTCATAGAAAAGTCACAAAGCGGAACATTGCGACTATGATTACCATAGGCTGCTTACCAGCCCTAACTAAGCAAAAGACCCTCCGTCTTTCAAACGAAAGCCAAAACATCAGCGCTAAAGGCATTCTAATTTTAAGCGAAGATAGAACTTTCGACCTAGCAGTTCACTTCGAACCTAGATCATAACCGGATAGTTACAGAGAATGTGACTACAGACTTTATTTACCTCCAAGAAAAAATGGCATTCTAAAACTTAACCAGATCCATCTAGTGAAGATGATAACACAGCTTCTGATAGAAAAAAGTAATTGCCATTCCAAAGAGCTAAGACGTCCGTTTAACAACAGTAGCGCATCTCTCCGCAATAGAACGACAACTCGTGAAATTTCCTGCCAGTAAACTTAATTGGAGAGAAAGCGCTACCGTAATTAAACGTAAAGTAGATACATAAAATTTCCCGTTTCCGCTTATAATTCCGACAATAGTCGAACAATAGTCCATTGATAGTAGACATAGACGTCATTGTGACCCAACTTGTTCGACACGTTATCGCCAGATGGCATCACTACTCTTTGTTTCAGTAATTTGCGTAAAAATTTGCAACTTTACGGCCCGATATTTGAAAAAACGTGTTCAAAATAATGTGTTTTAAATTTTTGTTACTTCCGATACTCCAATTAATTTTAGAAAAACCAATAAGTTATTTAAAAGAAATGCATAGTGCCTATACTACATAAAGAGACTTCGAACAGAAAATTATGAAAGTTAACACCTGCAGTAGATAATTGGTATTTACTGACACGTCCTCTGATTTACAGTATTCGTTGAATAACCCCACTAAGAAAGACAAAACCTTAACTATATGATGATAATTTTCCTGCTTTCGTTCATAATTTACAGTTACAAGAATAGTCGTTAAATAGACCCCCTATAAAAAATCAGAACCTAAAGTAGATGAGTAAATAGTTCCTGTTTCGTTTTCTGGTTCACTGTTAAAACAGCAGTTGTTGAATAAATCCCATTAGAATACTTTCTTATGGCAAATCAAAATACTCATATAAAAACGTATTCTATCAGTTTCAGTAAGTTTTATTCACTTCTGCCAAATTAAACAACAAATCTCTCTAAGCAACATATCAGTGATATACAAACAAGTCTTGTCTCTGGTGTAGACGTGTGGCATCCAGTTATGGAGATGTGCACCAAAATCGACCGTTCAAATCAACCAAAATTTCCAAATAAAATTTTTAAGAAATTTAGTGAACGGTTTGTAGTTTATTAGGAATACTAACCTCCATCGGGGCTTTAAGATCGAATCTGTAGATGCAATAATACAAAAGTTTGCGGTAAAGCACCAAGAACGGTTACATCAGCACCCAAACGAGACAACCCACCATCTGACTAATATATCTGGCCTGCAGAGGGTACTTAAAGGAATTAAACCTACAGTTCTACTACCGAATTAGTAGTCTAATAATAAATAGTCTAATAACAAATGTCAAATTGGCAACTTTACATTTGTAAAATGAATTGTAAAATATAACAAAACTTCTGCCAAATATTTCGTTTAATTATTATTATTAGTTTAATTAGTTAATGAAAAGTTTTTAAAATTTCACTCCACATCTGACAAATCTTATACTCCACTATATCTGATAATATGTTCTATATATTGAATAAAATGATTATTTTCAAATATAACTAACTATAAGCTTTTTATTTTCATATATGTATTAAATTTTGATATTTATTAATATTTTATTTACTACAAAAAACAACAACAATAATAAAAAGAAAATATTTAACCATCTAGTAGCGTTCAAGTTATGACTTTTCCGGTACGAAAAACAATCCACTTTGAAAGCCATAAAAACGTTTAATCCACTTAAACAGAGATTTACTGAAATCAGGTGCTATATATGCATCAATTGATCTAAAAATGTATCTTTTATTCTGTTCGAATGATACTTATCTCGAAAGGAGAAAAACATAATAAAAGTAATAATAATAAAAATGATAAAAATGAAAAAAGCACATACACTCCACAAGGTATTCGCATATGGGAGCTGCTCGAATTTCGCACATAATTCACAAAACGTTTGCGAACGGCAACTTCCATTGATTGGAATCGCTCAAGCACAGAATGCATTTCGAGTTTGACTTTTTGATATCAATTTTTTGCCAAAGCAAACAAAGGATTTCTTGCTGCCTTTGTTGATATTGTTATGATGCGAATATTGTTCAGAACTGAGTTTCATTTTTAACTGCTATTGAATTAAAATTTATTTTATTTTTATTTTTATTTTTATTTTTTTGTTTATTTTTTTTTTATTTTTGTTTATATTTAAATTTGAATTTAATGCTTGAGGAGAAGTTTTTAATTTGAAGTCTTCAAATTTGCCTTTTAACTTCTTGTGCTAACTTCAAATTTTTACTGCTCACAAAATTATGATTTTGACAAAAATATTTTCTGGCACAACACTACACAACATAACACAGCACAACACAACACTACACAACGAGTATTGTGTTGTTGTCGTGTCACCCACATCGATGTTTGTGTTACATGAAAAGTTAGTATTTGGAAAATTGTTTTAAATATTGTACTTTAATTTATTTATTACTTTAGTCTAACTTTAGTTTTAGTTTTTATTTAAATTTTTCTATTTATTTTTCTTTTTTTTATTTACTTTCAGCACCGTCTCCCATAACAGATGCACCGGCCGACACAGCACAGAAGTGCAATACAGAAGAATGCCGTCTTCCATACTGCTTCTGCTCAAAGGATGGCACACAAATTCCCGGTGGCTTAGAAGCCGAACAGGTTAGTTATAACACAACATAACACAACATAACACAATGAAATACAACTGAAACATTGGAACACAGAACTTTATATCTAAAACTATACTTTATACTCTGTCTACTTCACATATTTACACTGCATATAAGTGCAAATTTGCAAAACTATAAATAAGCCAGGACATAACGTTTAGTTTGTATGTCCTTTCAGTGTTCTGCATAAAAATGAATTGGTGGGATGCTAAATAGGAGTAGTAAATTCATTTTTATGCTATCGCACAGATGCAACGGAAATCAATGTCAAGCTGTGATATATAACCAAAAAATAAACTATTTTTATAGCACATATTTTCCTAACAAAATCAGTTCAAAACAAAAAACAATCCCCTCTGCCCCCTTTAAAGTATTGACATTTTATAAAGAATTGAGTTTTATGTGGAAAATTGATTGGAATTTGGTTATGGTGGAGAATTTAATGTATGGAAATAAATGCCAATACTGCAGTCAATAAATAAAATAAAAACTTAATTAAAATGTTGCATGCAAACAACAATAAAAATGGCAGATAAATAATATTTATGCATTTGGATATATGCAAGAGTGCCAGCAAAATTCTTCTACAATAAATTGCTGCACAAAAACCAGAAAATTTTATATTAAATTACAGCAAACCATTGCTTTGAAATACACATATAAATATTTTGTAATATTAACAAATTTAATTAAAATGTTTTTAATTTAGCATATTTGCATGAGAACACTAGTCAAGTGCATTATATATCCACACGCTAGGGCAATATTTCATTTAAAACTGCAGTAAAATGAAAAGTGAAATAAGTAAAGCGTATGCTATACATTAAATCAATTAACTATTCAAATCTCGATTAATAGCAGTTACTACTTAAGCCCTTAACAAACTTGTGCACATCTGAGCACATTAGTATTCAAAGCAAACTGCACCTGAATTGCAGTGCATGCATTTAATGCAATTACAAGCCGATTCCGCACAGAGATTCACCACCATTCACGCATATTAGCAAACCATCTAAGGTTGCATAATGACTTGAGCGTCAAATGCATACCATATATATCAATCCTTAATTCTTAATGTTGCAAAGGCTCTAACCTACGAATTCGTGCACAAATTAACCGCTGATTTGTGGTTAAATGAGATGCAATTAATTACTGCGAATCACAAGCAACTGCACTTGTAGTCAAGAGTTATCTGCGCCACATCCTGTTCTACTGACAGCCACAAAATATACTTTCATACACTCTCGACTTTGAAGCCAAAACTAAACACTTGGATTTTAATAGCTACTTCAGATGCAGCTTTAAATATTACACCCATAAGCTATACATTTAGATTGTCATTTTTAATTACTAATAACAAAAGTTCTACATCAAATTTGAAATAATTTTTAATTATTTTATAGGATGAGTTATTTATGGCAATAATTAGCAATTTCGTGGTGCATATACGGTGCAAATAATGTTAAAAATAGTAATTTTGATGAAATCAATTTTATAGATACAAATAAACTATTAGTTTCAGATTTTGAAATAATATTCCTAATCTTAATTAAGTTGCTTTTAATTTACAATATCGTAAAGAGAAGAGTAGTCAATAAGCTATTAAATTAAGTATGCATAAGAAGTTTAAAGATAGAGGATTTCTATATCAAAAACAGTAGATGGTAGCATCTTCTTTTTTCTTCATCTGATTCTTCATCATCTTCCACTTCTTTTTCTTCTTCTTCTTTTTATTAGGAAAAGAAGGAGAAATGTTAGGAGCATCTTCTTCTTTCGTCTTCTGTATCTTCATCATCTTCCACTTCTTTTTCTTCTTCTTCTTTTTATTCTTCTCCTTTTCCTATTATTCTTTCTCCTTTTCTTTTTCTTCATCTTCATCTTCTTCTTTCTCCTATTTTCTTCTTTTTCTTTCCTTAAACTCTTATTGGAGTATAGGGGCTCAGCATACCCTATGTTATGGTTTGCTAATATCCCCAATTACGATTCTTAAAATTACCACAAATTAAAACATATCAGAAAATAAAACAATTACGACAATAAGACAATTTTGTGGAGTGATAAACATATGGATATTAAAAAATATTGATAAAAATGTTGTTTTTAGGAAAAATTTTAAAACTTTACTTAGCAGTTAAACTATATATATCTTAATTTATTAGCATGTTTTGTATAAATACTCTGTTTTGAAAGAAGGTAGCGATTAGCTTTAAAAAGTGTAAAGGCAACTATTGCTCTATCACTTTGATAATCACGCCAGTATTAAAGAGATAAAAAATAATCTCGGTAAAAATATATATATCAGTATAATTTTATAATCACTTTCAGATGAAATAAAATTAATAAAATAAAGGTGCTATATTTAAAAAGTATAGAGAACCTGGTATTCCAACAGTTTCACAATTAAACCAGTAAGAAAAAAATTCCTTCTTCTGTTGAAGAAGAATATTTCTATAGAATATATATATTCTATATTTCTGATTTAATATAGAAGAGTAGAACTAAATCAGAAACGCCAAAAGAAAACACTATATGTGAAGAAAATATATAGTGTTTTTCGACTTCTTCGGCATTGATGTGATATATTATTCCTAGGTCAAAGGAATAGCCAAAATAGATGTAAGGAAATTGTATATGAAATCAAGCACTTAGATAGAATAGAAAAAGTTATTGAGCTACCAGCTTAGTCCAACATTATCAATTTCTGCTGGCTCAAAAACCAAATCTAAAACTTTTGGTCTAAACAACAGCGGTGAGAAAGCATACCTTAATTTAACGTCGCTTTTACATTTAAAAGTATCACTAAATTGTCCACAGAGTAATATGCAGCAGGTTGATTCTTCATAGCATGCCTTAATCATTTTTACAATTTTTGTTGGAATACCTCTGGCGGTGAGCGGTAACCATATAATTTCTTTTTTGAGAGTGATGAATACTTTTGAAAAATCTACAAAGACATTAACCAATATAATGTATAATGTCGCGTTATTTTCTGTTGGTGTTTATTAATTATATGTACGATATTTGTCATATACTCGCAGGATCTTTCTGGTCGGAAACTTATTTGATTCGGTCAAATAATTTGATTTAGAAGGATTCGAATAGTAAAGAGAAAATAAAATAGCTTCTTTGTCGTCATAAGAAGCGTAGCTTTCGGCAAAAATAATTCATTTTATAATTTGATTTAAAACTTTTGTGATAGTTGATAGATACCTCTTCAGTTTCTTGTTAATTTTTAGGAATTTTGTTTAATTCCTTCCATGTTTTGAGAACAGTTTCTGATATCCATAGTGTTTGAAGATCCCTAATATCTTAAACGCAATTAAAGGAGAATCTATTTTTAATCAGCATCTGTAGTTCTGATATAAAAATACAATATTCCAATGTGTTTTTTAATTACTGTTCCTAATTTAAATTTCTTACTATTTTGCGATACAATTAATTCCAATACCTTCTCCATTACAAATCGATTTGATACTTTCTATTTTATAGTTCGCTGGATTAATTACTCAATTTATATAGTACACATTAGCATTGTCTCCCTCCAGCATCAACTAAGTACACATGTTGTATATGGAAACACATTTCAAGCACGAAATAATTTGCAATATTCCCCGACTGATATGAAATGCAAAACAAGGGAGTGTATGCTGTAAACAATTGTGCAAATTATCACAAATTCGCACTCACTAACATCAAACCAACAAAGTTGTGTACAATTTAATCAGATTTCATTGTTTCTACTTACAAATGCAATGACAATGACATCGTGTTCAATCCACTTAAGGACAAAAGGAATAACAATATCGATTTCAGTTCAATCCAATAATCAAGACCTTCATCGGTTAATGCATTTTCAAATCAAACAAATATTAAATGGTATCGTATGACAATAGAAATGGACTACAGCCATTGCACATCCAATAGAAAACCCTAAAAGCAATATAAAAAATTAAAATCGTTCGACTGCACTTAAAGGTTATTGTATGCGGTAAGTGAGGATTATTAAACAAATTCGCCATTAAACTCAACCGAACACTTAGCAAAGTATTGCAGAATAGTGCGATTTGCATATAACGTCAAAGAAAAAAGTGCGGAAAATATTGGAAAAATGAAAAAAAAAAAAAGAAAACGAAACTGAGTTGCACGTTTCCGTTGCATAAATTATGCAATGCAGAAGAATTATAAGCGTCCGACGCCTGGTCGAACTTCAATTCATGCCACATTGACAACCGCTAAGAGCAACGCAGCACTTTCTTAAAAAATGAACAAAAATAAATTTCCTAAAATATAATATATAAAAAATATTGTTTTTTTATATTCTTCCCTGACAGTTTTCAAAATTTTGCATAGTCTTTTTTAGTCGTCCTAAACTCATTTTTAGAAATGATTTCGCTGCTCATATTGAAAAGGAACAGGATAGCGAAATTTTATAATAAATGTTCCACTGCAATAAAATGGATAATAAGAAAATTTATTCCACAAAATATGATGAACAGAAAACAAGAAGAACAAGCATCGAACTGCCTGTCTTCTTTCAAAAAACTTCCTTGTCCTTTATCGAAAACTGAAGCGCCACCAATACATTGCGCATTATTGGTTTTTCCCCGTTTTAGTTTATTTTTCGTCTAGTTTAGTTGGTGTTCTTAATGCTCATTTGACCCAGTTTAATGGTAATTTCAATATTGATGCGATTTGTCTTATAATTTTTAAAATACGAGTGCTCTTCTCCACTTAAACCAATGAAACCAATGGGAGGAAAAAATTTAATTTAGCAAATATTATGTTAATTTCCATAATGGGAAAATTTTCAATAAGAATTTAAAAGCATAAAAATCTTCATTTTAATGAGCTGATATACTTTATATCTTTGATTTCATTAATTCCATCATAAGTGCATTGCAATGAATTAAAAGTTTGCATCCTTCGCAATGCTATATCCATAAAAAATAATATGAGAGTAATTACACTGAAATGAAGCTTCATTTGTGTTCTCAAAGTTTTAAGTAATTTGTATATAAAGTTGAATAAAAATTAAGTATTTTCAATATTAAATTCGAATTTATATTGATAATTCTTAATAGAATTTGCCATTAAAATCTGCTCTCCGTTTAATCATTTGCGTAGTTTGAAATTTTACTAGAAACTGCATTGCACAATTTAAAAGTGCTATTGACATAAATGAATTGAAATTGATATAAATTGATATAAATACTTATGATAAATACTGAATAAGAGCTTCATATTCTTCTTATAGATTCCACAAATTATTATGCTGACATTTGATGGTGCCGTCAACTTGAATAACTATGATCATTATCAGAAAATATTTAATGGAAAACGCAAAAATCCTAATGGCTGCAATATACGCGGAACGTTCTTTATGTCCCACGAATATAGGTAAGTAAAAATGTTTTTAAATTAAGTTCAAAATCTTAAACAATTCTATAAATATGGTAAAATCATACTATTTAAAATAAGTAAATTCAAACAACTTAATTAAATACGAGGGCGGTTTGATAAGTCAGTGACTTTTCGAATTTCCCGCGCAGTTACTCCAAATGCAACAGCGCTGCCGTCAGCTGTAATCTACCAGTGGGCAATATTTTAATTTTAAGCAAGCTTAACAGGGTTTTTTAACAGGGAACCGCAAATCGGAAGAAACCAATATTTTTGCAGGAATGAAAATCGGAACCGAATCGATATATTTTTTTTCTTTTGAACCAGAAGTCCAGTTTTTTATTTGCTAAAACTTCACTACTTTTCTCATTATAGAGATATAAAATTGATAATTATTTCAAAAATTCACTGATTATAGGTGATATGTTTTTATATCCGGGTGATTTTTTACTGTCTAATTTGTTGTTGATTACTGGACTAAGCTATTTCTCTTGAATTTGCCATCACTTGTAAAAAAAAATTATTCTAGAAAAATTAATCATTATTTTTATTATAATTATGTTAAAGTTATTATTATAATATTATAATATGAATTGTTATTATATCATTAATAATCATTATAATTTTGAGCCACTTCAAAAACAAAACCATATTATTTTTCTCTATCCTATTAGACTGTCCTTTAAATAATAATTATTGAAAATAGAACCACTCAATGCGATTTTTAATTACTTGAATTTTTATTATTCTCCATTGAAAATAATTTTCTTCCTAGTCAACAAACTTCTTCCAAGAACAATAAATTGAACAGTGGCTGATATTATGTTTAATATATTGATCGACACCCTTTGATTAATTTCAGTTTGGAGAATAGTCAGCAGTCTCATAAAATCAAACCAGTTTAATAAATTGTCTCTGGTAGTTAATCAAAACCCTTTGGTTAATTTCAACTTGACTAGTTGACTAGATCGATAACAATGTTACGTTATTTGGTCTACAACTCACGTATCATGGTACTTTGTATTACGGAGGCTTATCTTGCAACAGAAACTAATTTTGCAGTGCGCGATATTTCGATCGATTTCTTCGAATACTGGCTACAATCTTTGTTATGCAGCTCTCAAATAATATTCGGCGTTCAACGTTTGACCAAGTTAATCATATGGAGATGGTTTTACAATTTGAATGAACATGTATATTTAAGATGCTATCAATCAATATAGTGCAACTAAACTTCCTTCAACAAATTATAAATATTACATACCACATATAATTAGTTTTTATATGACCACAATGAAACTAGTTAAAAAACATTTAAGACATTCCAGTCGTTGGTGCATATTCCACCTAAAGCTCTTGTTTTATTTGAGATACGTTTTATTCTACAAAAACTTACGCTTGAGCCCTTGTACTTACTTAATTGATGCATAACTAAACCAATTTTTAGTTTTGACTATATATATATGTATATATGTTTGCCTACTTACAAAGACTTTAGCTTTGAAAACCTGAATAATGACAGAACGAATACGTGCTTTGCCACACAGTTAAGGTTCAAGTATCTAGCTGACAACTTGCTTAAATATTTCTCAAACTAAACTCATACAAAAAAAGATTTTATTTATGAAAGATTGGTCTGATTACCAAATATTCTGTTTAGATCATCAAATACCATTGTTATCAAATACCATTAAATACATAATCTAAGTTACAGTATGTCAGTTACTTATAAACAACAACAATTCTTTATTGTTTTTACTTTCAAATGTTTCATTTTAAATGAAAATAACGTCATATGTTTCCATTTAGCCTCAGTCAAATGTACTGATTGTAGTTTAGAGTACATCATTACATTTTTGCTATTCATAAATGAATTTGGCACTAACCAAATTATAATTCTCATTCTGTTAAGAATTTGGGTTCTATATGTTTATTATAATTTTCTTACATGTTATGAATTTAATATAAATATACATATATATATGTATATATATGTTTGATATAATACTATTCAGTTACAAGATTAGTACATTAGATTTGTACATTTTTATTGAAGGATTTTATCACACAAGATATTAAATCGGCTTTATATGCTAAATATTCTATTAGTTGATCTAAGCCTAAATGCCATATTTTTATTTAATTCCTTCTGATATTATGTTTGTGGTTTGTTTGAAGATTCTGTTTGTTTCTATATATGTAGCTGTTTTACTATATTTGAAATAGTTTTTTTTAATTTTGAATTGTTTTATTTTATTTTAAATTAAAATAAGTCCATTTGTGTCTATTTGGGTTCAGCCATATGTATTGATAGTACTTAATGGTATATCATTACATTTTTTTTTTACTCATAAATGTGGATGTGAAATCAACTAAATTACAATTCCCTTAATACAAAAAATCTGTATCATATCTACATTTATAAATCGCCTGTATCTTCCCTGAATCCTTCAATAATTGTGAGTAATTTAAAGATATTTAAATTTCTGATTACCCTTTCACTGCACGTTTGGATTGTTTGGATTGTTGTTGTCTTTGAGTGAACGCATATTTCCGTGAAATTCAGTTAAAAACTTTTTATGTGTTCCTCCTCAACTCGGTTACTTTCGAAAGTTTTATTACGAATGTAATCAAGTAAGTTCAACCAATTCAATATTTCAAATATCTTTTCAAAATTTTCGACATTAACTACAAACAGTGAGCTCTATTTTTTAGAACGGGAGTATTAAACAAAGAAACCCGCAGCTCCGCGTTGCTGGAGGATATACTGAGCTATTGTTCGCGGAGTTGCAAAAGACAAACAAAAATTAAATTTACAAACATTTGCGATTAGATTACTTGTTAGCAATTTTTTAGTATGTTTTTTTATATATATATAGTATTAGTTATTCCCCTTATTTTTGAATATGCATGAAGTCGGGGCTTTTGTTGTTTGTGAGCACACAAAACCATTTTACTTTATTGTGTTTTTGGTGTAAAAACGTACTAAATTGGTGCAAAAAACGAGGTTGCAAAACTTTTCTGTCAGTAGTTGCAGAAATTAAATTAATATTTAAACAAAAGCAATATCGTGAAGGACATTTAAAGAACACAATAACTTAATAGGATTAAATAAGAAATAAATTATGCAATATGAATAATACATACTGAAACATATTTTGAAATATATTAACTAATTTATAAAGTAATTTCAAAAATATTAACAATGGAATAAGTACCACTGCTTTACTCGCTTTGCTAAATTAAAAGCATATAATCTATATAATCTACCAGAGAAATGTTTGTTTTCCTATGTTTAAACAGAGGTGTGTGGACGTCAACCGGCAGCAATTCAAACGCGTTAACCATAGCCAATGGTGAACCCCAAACTTCCATTGTCTTACCGTGACAGTCAGCTGTCACTTACGGAAACGCAATTCTGTTACGTGTTATTTAGTGCAGTACGGGAATTCAAGAGAATCCAATGCTGATGCAGCCAAGTATCCGTACAATAGCTAAGGTTATTTCGCAGATGAACAACATTCAACCGCATGGCAGCGGTTACAATGCAAAGCGCTACTGGAATTCTCACGATTGTGATAGTTTTGGGAAGTTTTGCACCGACCGGTGCTTTTTTGACATGGTTCCCATTGGCTAAATCCAAATTTCTATCAGCAATTCAACTTAACTTCAACTTTTTCACGCAATTAAAATTTCACTGTTTTAGAAAAATTCTTTGCATTTATTTTCTTTTTATTTTCCATTTTCTTTTTTTGTTTTCTTTATGTTGTGAATTTGATTTTCATTTTCATTCTTCAGTTTGAATTTTTTTTTTTTGTGGCATATTGCAGCAGTGGCGGTTTAAGTGGCGTGCAGCAAAGTGGCAGCACTGCTTCACCAATTTTTTTTCTTTTTTTTTCGTGTTGCCAACTTGAATCTGCTGTTTTGGTCATTTCAACTCTTCAAAAGTACTTTCGACACAAGAAATGAAAACCAAACAAAACAACAAAGGGGGAAGGGATAAAGAAGTATTTCCTTTCTTAGCTTCATTGTTTCTGTTCACATGCTCTGCTAAAAGTTTTGTGATTAAAAGTTTTATTTTTGGCTGCAATAAAGAAACAAGCTTAAAGTAATTTAAAGTTTACCAACAATAAGCAGACATGCATGAAAAAGTGAATTTAAAGGCATTTTCATTAAAAATTTTGAATTCTTTATACTTTAGGGTCCCTTTCAGTCTTTAACGGAACCTTAACCATCCAACTGACAACAACAGTATCAAATCTATATCAATTACATTTAAGCTATGACATCACATCACACATATATATTTGTATTTCTATCACTTCTATCACAACTATCTCTGCTATCATCACTATCACTATATTTGACAATATGAATGTGTAGTTATTACAATTCGCATCAACCATATCCTTAAATTTGCTTCACATGTTCACAGATTTCTTATAGCCACGGTTGCCACTTATGGTACTTTAGTACCAAAATTGGAACTTTTTTTTTCGTTTGGTACTCATGTTCAAAAAATGGTACATTTTTGACGACCCAACTTTATTGTGGATATTTCCAATTAATTTTTTTTATAAATGCAACTTTGCACTATTTTATATTTTGTTCATTTATAACACTATAAAAAACACAGAACGAAGAAACAAAAAGGTCAATTTTTGGACCTTTTTTTACAGAAAAAAACCAATTTAAACCAATTTTGGTACAGAAAAAAATTTTCAAGTGGCAACCGTGTGTGTAGTTATTAGCAATCCAACAATTCGCATCAACCATATTCTTAAATTTGCTTCACATATTCACAGATTTCTTATAGCGTATCTCCAATAATTGGGAATTATATTTTAAGTATGAAAGGTAGTGAAGTGGTGCAATGCAGAAAATAATCCTTTTTTAGAATTTTGTACCTTTAGCAAACTAACTAAAGGCCCAATTACTCCACACCCTAATTTAAAATGCATGGTCTTATCTAACTTATGCACCATTCGACTAGACGAATT